TTGGGCGAGCCTGGAGCACACAGCGAGCAGCATGGCCTCTCGGTCGGGCTCTTGAGACGATCGCACCCGAACCACTCTGGGGAGGAGGAGGAGAGAGTGGGGGAGGAGGGAGTGAAGTGAAGGAAGAGGACGAAGGCATGGCAAGGGGGGAAGCAGAGAAGTTAAGTCCTGAGGCGCCTCAATACAAGACATGAGATGTGTAGTAGCATATACATCATGTGTTTTGAGAAGTCTCAACGTTCAAAACAAGACATGAGACTTGGTTGGAGCGGACACAGCACGAGGGCACACGGGCGGGCACATCCCTTCTTCCTCTTTCCCCCTCCCGTTCCAGCCATCCCTTCCCCCTTCATTGACTCCTCTTCCAGGGTGCGGGGGCGCTGCAGGGAGCAACAGCAGACAGCCGTACAGGCAGGTAGGGCACCCACCGTACAGCTACTCAGTCATTCACAGTGCAAACTTCACTCCCTCCCCCTTCACTCACTCCTCTTCCAGTGTGCGGGGTCGCTGCATGGAAGCATCAGCAGACAGCCGCACGGGCAGGTTGAGGGACAGGCTGGCAAGCTGCTGCACCTCCCCACTCATGGTGGCCGAGAAAAGGAGAGTCTGGCGGCGCTTGGGACACACTCGCACCTGCGTGAGAGAGGCAAAGAGCACCGAGGGGAAGAGGAGAGGGAGAGGGGGAAAGGGGGGAGGGGATTTTCGAATGACAGGTTGAGGGACAGGCTGGCCAGCTGCTGCACCTCCCCACTCATGGTGGCCGAGAAGAGCAGGGTTTGGCGGCGCTTTGGGCAGACTCTCACCTGCGAGGGGGGAGGAGGAGACTTTTGAGTCGACTCAAAAGTCGACTCTGACCTGCGAGGGGGGAGGAGGAGAGGGAAGGCAAGGGGGTGTGGGTGGGGGAGGGGGGCTTGTGTGATTGGCAGGTTGAGAGACAGGCTCGCAAGCTGCTGCACCTCCCCACACATGGTGGCCGAGAAGAGGAGTGTTTGACAGCGCTTGGGACAAACTCGCACCTATGATAGAGACTGGGAGGGGAGGGGCGAGGAGGGGAGCGGAGGTGACGGGAGGGGGAGGGGAGGGGAGGGGAGGGGAGGGGAGGGGAGGGGAGGGGAGGGGAGGGGGAGGGGAGGGGAGGAACACATGGACTCAATAAATTGGAAAAGACTGGTTTGCTGCAGCATTTCTGCACTCATGGCTCAAAATAGACCAAGATTAGTGCACAAACTATTTCTGGGAGCACTTACTAATTTAGGCAGCACTTACTATTTTAGGCAGCACTTACTATTTCCATCACCTCCTCCTGGAACCCCAGCTGCAGCAGCCTGTCTGCCTCATCCAGCACCAGAATGGCCAGGTCGTTCAAGTCAACGCTCTGGCTGTTGTGTAGATGATCCACCAGCCTGGAGGGGGGACGAGAAAGAGATTGGTGGGAGCAGGAAGGCCCAACAGGAGTAAGAACTTGAGAGCACGAAAGCAAGGCAAGGTTGTTGAGGTCCAGACTCTTCCTCTGGTTGTTGTGCAGAATCTGCAAAATGCGAGACTAGTTTTGAGGCACTTGTAGAAAATGGAGGCGCTTCAAGAGTCGTTGAGGTCTAGACTCTTCTCTGGCTGTTGCGCAGAATCTGCAGATGGTCCACTCCACAAACAACCCACGGGGCTGGGGCAACGACGACATTGGGGCGAGAGCACAGAGCCAGCCACTTCCCGGTTCTCAACATCCCCATCACAGAGGACATGCAACTTGTCACAGAGGACATGCAACCCGTCACAGGCCCCCATTTGGCCCCCATCACATCTCAATCCGCCCCAGATAAACACATGTCCCCCTCCTCCTTCCTCGCTCGCCTCTCCTTCACCTGACGACGATGTTGGGGGCAAAAGCACAGAGCCACCTCCTGGTACTTCATAGACCGCCCACTGCCTTACCCTTGATCATATCCCACACCATCCCACCTTCCAGGAGTCGTGACCACGATGTCAGGCCTTGACCGCAGAGCCACCTCCTGGTTCTTTATGGACAGACCCCCCACCACGAGCCCACAGCGAGTAAGCCTTGAGACACCTAAAGAGTACGCTTCCCAGCTCCCCACCAGGTTCCCACCTGCCTGGAGTCGCGACCACGATGTCAGGCCTTGACCGCAGAGCCACCTCCTGGTTCTTTATAGATAGCCCCCCCACCACGAGCCCACAGCGGATGTCAGTGAATTGCGCTAGCTTCTCCACCATGCTGTGCACTCTGTGTGGGGGGAAGTAAGTGAGGGGGAAGGAGGATGGAAGAGGGGAAAATGGAGAGGAAAATGGAGAGGAAAACGGAGAGGAAAATGGAGAGGAAAATGGAGAGGAAAATGGAGAGGAAAATGGAGAGGAAAATGGTGGCACCGTGGCGGCGGTCAGACACTTCAGTACCGACAGAACCTCCCACCACGAGGCTGCAGCGGCTGTCTGTGTACTGCGCTAGCTCTAGCAAAGGAATCTACGCGCTCGTGTAGCCTCCACCCGTTAAGGGCGAGGCGAGGCGAAGCACATGTCATCGTTCCATCCAAGCCCATCCATGTTGCTCGGGTAGATATACGACAAAGCGAGCGAAACACAGCACATGGATGGGCTTGGATGGATATACGACAAAGCAAGTGAACACAGCACTCACTGCACAGCCAGCTCTCTGGTTGGGGTGAGCACGAGCACGCGTGTAGCTGCCACGCGCTTGGGGCGAAATAGCAGACGCTCCAAGATGGGCAGAGCAAAGGCTGCGGTCTGTTTGGGCAGGGAGGGGAAGAGGGAGGGAGGAAGAGTGCTACCATTAGGTGCCTCACGAGTGGCCGCCACCCGCTTTGGGTGGAGCAGCATGAGCAACACGAGAGGGCAACACCCACCTTGCCAGACACAGTGATTGCACTGCCGCATATATCCCTCCCAGCCATGGCAAGCGGCACACATGCAGCCTGGATGGGCGTGGGCTTGTCATACCCCAGCGCAGCACACGCACGCAGCAGCGACGCAATACAGGCACAACACGAGAGCAACACCCCCCAACACACCCACCTTTCCAGACCCAGTGATGGCGCTGCCACAGATGTCTCTCCCAGCCATGGCGAGCGGCACGCACGCGGCTTGAATGGGCGTGGGCTTGTCGTAACCCAGAGCAGCACACGCACGCAGCAACGGCCGCGACAGCTGCAGTTCTGAGAAGGACGACGCAGAGAACCGCGCCCCTGCCTCCTCCGCCCCCTCGAAATACACCCCCCCGCCTCCCCCTCCGCCCCCCCCTTCCCTGCCTTCACCCTTTCCTGCTCCTTCCTTCTCTCGCCTGGCTTTTGCCTTGGGTGCCTTTTCGATTTCTTTTATTTTGGGCTGCTGAAAAGAGCGGGGGGGAGGAAGGAGGGTGGGTGGGGGGGGGGGGTTGAGAAAGGAGGGAGGGGGAGGGGTTGAGCAAGAAAAGTTCAGAACGGCTCTGGAGGTTTTGGTCTCAACTACTCAGCCCACCTGGCTTTTGAACGGTTTGGCTCCTCCGTTGAAAGCTTCGTTTCATCAAAGGGTGATGCTTTCGTTAAGCCACACCATAGAGCTTGTAACTCAGAAATCCTTCCCACATCCCGAACCTGTGATAAAACCTGACCCCGAAACCTTGGACGTTGTGCGAGATGCGCGTGGCTTACCTCACTCTCGCCGCGTTCCTTCCCTTCCCATCTCTTCTAACCACGCTACCCACCTGTTGAACCCCTCTCAACCCCTTCTCGTTTATTCATACCTCCTTTTTAGTCTTCTTGTGACTCGCCTCTTCCTCTTCCTCATTTTCCTCCTCTTCCTCTTCTTCTTCCGCTTCGTCTTCCTCTTCCTCCTCATCTTCCTCCTCCTCATCCTCTTCTTCCTCTTCCTCTCCTTCCTCCTCTTCAATCTCCTCTTCGTCTTCCTCGTCCTCTTCCTGCTCCTCCCCGCTTCGTCTACCTCTTCCTCTGCCTCTTCCTCCTCCTCTTCCTCTTCCTCCTCCACATCCTCCTCCTCATCCTCCTCCTCATCCTCCTCCTCTTCCTCCTCCTCTTCATCCTCCTCCTCCTCGTCCTCCTCTCTCTCCCTCTCTTCGTGCTCCCAAGCCCCATCGCTCTCCGCCGTCGGATCATCTCAATCTTGGTATCAACGGACGTCGTTTTTCGCTCCTTAAACTCCTCCGCAAGAGTCTTCCCCGCGCCCTTGAAATCCCACGCCGCCACCTCCCCTCCATCCTCATTATCGTCATCCGCGTCAAAACGAAACAGCGGATCCATTCGCCCCATGGCTTTCTACAGGGACAACCAGATACCGAATTCGATAATAATACCGCTTTTTACGGTCAATCCTAGTGCGCGGATACTAACTCGAAGCTACGAGCGTGCGAACATTCCGCAACTGGGTATCGTCTACGAGATTCTAGCCATTCCAATATTTTGGAGCAATCGCGTCAGAGTCAAGCGCGCGAACGCCGTGAAAGAGAAAGTCCTCGCGGACCGCGGAGGATTCTAGGGTTCCTGTCGAGGTTTCATGTGAGTCGAGTTTCAAGGTTTAATCCAGAGGGGAACAAAAGTGGCTTGTTGTTTCCATATTCTGATTCGATATGCGTCAGCGTAGAATGCAATAAATTACATGTTTCCTACTAAGTAGCAAAGATTCTGCATCACATATCGAACCCAATACTGAGCTAGCAGATGTTACATGCATTCATGTTGATCTGCATACTAGAATCGCATCAAGGCACAAGCATCCCAACAACAAACCCCTATTGTTATCGCAACAAGCCGCTTCTCATGCCGGAAACATTCCAAGACAAATTCATTTCATGTCAATCCCAAGGTTTTGGATTCCTGACAACCCTGCCTCTTCACAGAAAAACGAATCCTAGAAAATACTTGGCCAGCTCAGCTTCCAGTTCCTCCAACTCCTCTGGAGCCGCCAGCTCAGCATACCCCCCGGCCAATGGTATTATCCCATCCCTAGTTTGTCGCACAAGTCACGTCACTCATGACTCAAGAGATTGATGTCTTTGCCAGCTCAGCTTCCAGCTCCTCCAGCTCCTCCGGTGCCAGCTCATCATCATCCTCAGCCAATAGCATCTCATCTTCCTCCGTGAGAGCAAGCCCTCCTGCTGCTCCAGATGAGCTAGGCCCAGCACCTCCCCCACCGCTGCTGGATTCCCCTGGAGTGGCAACAGGGGGAGCTGCGGCCCCTTCCTCCTCCTCCACTCGCTCATATGCGTCGCATGCGGCGTCGTCGTCGACAAAGAGCGAGGCATCGGACAGAAACAGCTCGCGACCACTGCACAAGGGAGGAAAGGAAGGGAGAGACAGGGGACGAATGAGAGGTTCTGACGCCTGCACAAGCAGCAGGGGGAGCTGCGCAGCCTCCTCCACTCTCTCGTAGGCATCGCATGCGGCATCGTCGTCCACGAAGAGGGAGGCATCGGACAGAAACTGCTCGCGACCACTGCAGAAGGGAGGGAAGGAAGGGAGAGACACAGGGAAGAGAAGACAGGAAATTCAGGGCCTTCTTGGCTGCCCGCTCAGCGCCTCACCCCATACTGCTCTGCGGGTCACCACACCATGCGCCTCACCCCACAGCACCCTCTACCCAGCTCACCTCATTCTGTCCTCCTTGGCGCGTGCGGCCTTCTTGGCTGCCTGCTCAGCGTCCTTCACCTCCTGCTTCTTCCGCTTCCACTCATGAAGATCTCGGTCGTCAGCTGCGTGTGGCTTGCTGTCATCTTGCGCTGCAAACGGGGGAGAGGGAGGGAGAGAGAAGGAAGATGTGACGAGGGGTCTAGTTTGCACACGGTCTGCTTCTTGCGCTTCCACTCCATGAAGGTCTCTTTCGTCAGCTGTGTGTGACTCGCTGTCATCTTGCGCTGCACAGGCGAGATGGAGGAGGGAGAGAGGAGCGTAAATATTCAAAGAGAGCGGGAGGATGTGAAGAGGGGTTGAGTTTGAAACGATCTGCTTCTTCTGCTTCCGCTTCCACTCCATAAAGATCTCGGTCGTCAGCAGCGTGTGACTCGCTGTCATCTTGCGCTGAGGGGAAAAAAAAAAGGTATAGGGGAGAGAGGAGAAATAAGCAGAAGGGCGGCTGACGGAAAAAATAAAATGACAGCCTGCGTCTGCTGATTCCGCTGCTCAGTGGTGAGCTGCATGTGGCTCCAGAGGTGACTTTTGAGTCACTTTGGAGAATTCTCAGCCGACTCAAAAGTCAACACAGCCTGCGTCTGCCACTTCCACTGCTCAGTGGTGAGCTGCATGTGGCTCCAGAGGAAGGGTGGTCATCTTCCCCTGCCAGGAGGGAAAGGGAGGCAGCTTCCATTCCATCTGCACATTGAGCATTCAGCCACTTTGCGAGGCAACGCCCCTCGCCCTCTCTATGCCTCAACTCCCCTTGCCTTCATGTCCCACCTCTAGCCTCTTTCTTGTCTCCCTCTCACCTCCAGAAGAGCTTTCATCTGCGACTTGAGCACATAGCCTCGCCTTGCCCAGCCTACCCTCACCACTCTGCACCTCTCTTATGCCCTCACCTCGTTTTCAATCATCTCCTCAACGGTCAGCTTGTTCGCCTGCTCCTCCTCCAGAAGAGCCTTCATCTGTGACTTGAGCACGTAGCCGGGCGGCAGCGCGTGGCGGTACATGCAGTCCTTGCCCCCGTTGGGGCACACCCAGAACCACCCGTACTGCTTCTTCTCCACAGCCTCTAGGAAGTGCTTGCACACCTGCACGGGAGGAGCAAGGATCAGAGAGATGAGGGAGTGAGCGCGTGGCGGTACATGCAGTCCTTGCCACCGTTCGGGCAAACCCAAAACCACCCATACTGCTTCTTCTCCTCAGCTTCCAAGAAATGCTTGCACACCTGCATGGGAGGAGAGGGGGGGATCGGAGGAATGAGAGGAGAGAGGGGGGGAGAGGGGGGGAAGCAGGGGGGTGTAGGTGGGAGGGGAGAGACAATGGGGAGAATGCAGAGAATATGGAGGGGTGAGGATGAGGGAGTGAGCACGTGGCGGTACATGCAGTCCTTGCCCCCGTTGGGGCACACCCAGAACCACCCGTACTGCTTCTTCTCCACAGCCTCCAAGAAATGCTTGCACACCTGCAGGGGGTGTGAAAAGGGGGATAAAGAACGGGGTGAGATAGCCGGGGGATGGGGATGGGGGGAGAAGAGAGCACGGGAATGGGCGGGATGCGGGGAATGCAGGGAAGAGGAGGAGGGAGGGGATGCAAGGAATGCTGGGTGGAGGGATTGGCGTTTTCGTACTTCACGCCCTTGGCCGCCACCACCTGCTCCAGCTTCTCATCTCTCCCTGCCTTCCTACCACTCTCTACCGCTTCATACCCATCTCTCTCCATCTCTACCACTCTCCACCACTCCCAGCTGACGTACAATCTCGGTGGGCTTGTTGGCGTTCTTGTACTCCGCGCCCTTAGACGCCACCACCTGCTCGAGCTTCGCCTGGTCCCAGTCCTCCATCTTGTCTGCTCACACGCGGGGGAGGGGGAGAGGCGCGCGCAGGAACAGGGGTACAAAGATGCATGAGCAAAGAGAAACAGGGGGATCTCTTAGACGCCACCACCTGCTCCAGCTTCACATGATCCCAGTCCTCCATCCTGTCTGCTCGCACGCTCACACAGGCAGCGGCGTGCAGAGGCACAGGGGCACACGGCACAGAGATGTGCATGAGCCAAGAGAGACAGAGAAAGCTCTTAAACGCCACCACCTGCCACAGCTTCGCCTGGTCACACTCTCTTTCTCTCTTCCCCACACTCCCCCCCAACCCCCCACCGCCTCCCCTCTCGTCCCCCAACCCAGCTTCCCCCTTACCTTCCTCATCCCGCTGGTCGCTGTACAGGTCGATCTTCTCGCCCTTGCGCTCCACGCTCAGATCGTGCGAGAACTTGCACTTAAAGCCCTTGCTGCACTGCCCGTGGCGGAAGAACTCGCAGACAATGGACTTGGGGTCCACGCCTGGCGGGACCTTGGGCTGCGTGATGGCCACTCTGAACAGCTCGTTCAGCTCCTTCTCCCGCTTCGCCTCCTCCTCCTTCTTCTTCTGCACTCCCGATACAAGCACAGGGACACGGTCGTTTCATACAAGAACATCACCAGAGTCAACCCATACAAGCTCATCAACAAAACCAACCCATACAAGCACATCAACACAGGCACCAATACAAGCACATCAACACAGGCAACCCATACAAGCACATCAAAACAGTTAACCCACATGACCACATAAATAAAGGCAACCCATTCACGTGCATTAGCCCAATCCATTCTAAACCGGTGTATCCTCATAGCTGTGGAGACTTGTCAAGCTAATACACGCGATACAAAACGTAGCAAGGCCATATTGAAATCACTTTTTGAGAATTCTCAAAAGTGATATCAACAAGTAACTGGAGATAGCATCGTAGTGATGGCATCAACAAGCAGCCACTTCCCGATTAACCTATCGAATCTCCAGTCGTCGCGAATACGAGTCGGGTTACCAACCAATAAGGTTCACGAAATTACCTTCTGGCGACGGTTGGATCTTCGGCGGCCTGTTTTCTGGCGGTCGCCTGAACGGACTGCTGCATGTTCTGCACATACTTCTGAACCTTGTTGCTCTTATTCTTGTTCTTCAGCCCGAACGTCTTATCCTCCACGATCTTCTGCTTCCTCGCGAGATCCGCTTTAGACACCTTCGCGTCTTTTTCGGCGGCATTTTAGCTGACTACACTCGGTCCCCCGCTCTAGTAATATCTAAGAACGACTATTTGAGAACTGGTACTCGGGCCCTTGCACTCGGTCCCCTGCTGCTTTTGTGTAACGACGAGGCGCTTTGGTCTGTCTGGGAATCAGTACCGCTAACTACACTCGGTCTTGACGAATGCCGTGAAACTAGCAAGCCGTCAAATTGTGAAGTCGTCAAGCCGCCTAACTAACCGGCACAAGCAATGGCCGACAGTAGACGGCGAATAAGGAGATAGATTCGACAAAATAATTGTAGCAGAGATTTGTCATGGGACGTTATCGCGGAGTTATTGAATAACTTCTTGCCCTAAGGTCCGAGGAACTAGGAATTCGACCATAACACCCACCGGCGACCACCACGTAATAAGAAATACTTTCTAGAAGCGCTTAATATACGCGAGCGAGGGTCTTGCACCGAAACGTGAGATCAGGGCAAAGAAAACTAAACTCGTGCGGAATTCCAGACTAATTATTACTAATTAGGTTCTGCTATTTCCTTGAGTAAATCCCTAGGTCTCAGTATTCAGGAACCCTGAATCCCCGCACGACTGGGGGTGGGAGGGGAAGGGGGGGGGGGGGGGGGGGGCTCGGGGAAAAGCAGAGCGTAGGGGGAGGGTGAGCTGCAGAAGGCGGAAAACGAGGCGGGGGATTGGAGGATGAGTGCGGGTGCTGCGGAAAACATTTGCGCGGCTCAATGGAACATCTGACACGCGGACAATCTGGAGGTGGAGGGTGTGCGCGAGGAATGGTGGTCTGTGGGACAAGCGCAATGGACCCCATATCGAAGCTTCCAAAGTTCCGTGATGATATCGAGTTGTTCGATTAGAGATGAGTGCTTCAGAAGACTCTATAAATAGGAAGACGACATAATAGCTCAAACTGCTATATCCTACCTTGAGCTCTTGCCACACGTCACATAACCAGTGGCTTATACAAACTTACAATTCAATAGGTAGAGCATCCAGCTTCACATAGCGGCTACAACATGGCAGAGGGCAGCTGCTAATTGCCGTAGGCTAACCGGCTTTAAAAGAACCTCATCCATTCCCACTGTCCCACATGCTGCCACAAGAACCTCGTCCGTTCTTGCCGTTATGCCGACAATAAATGGTCGATTGTCAGGACTGCTTAGTTTAGTGGGGAAGGCAACGAGACAATCATAAGGGTGTTGGGAATCAGGACGAAATAAGACCACTTAATGTACCGTATACAAACATGGACTGTTTCTAGACGATGGGAAATACACGGCCAACGCCTATGCATGATGGTCTTTTTCTGCTGGAAAAGAATCACCAGCAGGTATGTGTCTGCAGCGCCGAAGTGTGTTTTGGGTCGTCCCAAAACACAACTGCTGCTAGAGAGAATTTCCAGGCAGGCATGTATCATGTAATACGTCTTTGGGGCGCATAAGAAATTACTCAGGGAACATGCTGTGTATGCAGCGGGCTGCTTCCAGCCCATCGACATCCGGCATGCAGATACCTAGAAGGATAATGCCTGCAACAGGGGAGGCTGACGGGCTCTTCCTCTCTGCTGCCCGGGAGAATTCCCAGGCAGGTATGCTTGTTTGTACGGCCCCGAAGCGCCCAAGGAATGACTCACCGGAACATCTTGTGTATGCAGCGGGCTGCTTCAAGCCCATCGACATCGGGCATGCAGATATCCAGAAGAACAATGTCTGCAATGGGGGAGGCTGACGGGCTCTTCCTGCTGCCCGAGAGAATTGACAGGCACTCCTGTGTGCTGGCGGCTAGGGTGACGTGGCAGTGCAGCGACAGGAGCAGCTGATGTGTCGCGATGCGATTGGCCACGTTGTCTTCCACAAGCTGGTTGACGGGCAGGAGAAAGGGGAAAGGGATGGGGGAAGTGGGGGAGCATGTGGGGGAAAGGGTGCGGGGAAGAGGGATTCAGGCAGACAACCACGAAGGGCATCCAACACAGGACTCACTCACTCACTCACTCACCAGCAGACGAATGCCGTTAAGCTCTTGATATACGCCCCAAGCGAGCATGAGGTCTGATTTACCTAAGTAGCACTTGCATCTCTCACCAGTGAACCCCGGCTACTGAAACGACTTCTGAGGCGCCTCAAAAGACTCTCACCAATGAACCCCAGCTACTGAACATACCCCCTAATCACAAAGTCGAGTATCCTTGATCCTCACTCACAAGCACACGAATCCCCTCCACCTCTTCAATATGTGTCCCAATCGAGTGTATAACGCTTGAGCCACCTAAGAAATCACTTGCATCACTCACCAGAACTTTGAGACGTCTCAAAACAGAGTCACTTGCATCACTCACCAGCACACGAATCCCCTCCAGCTCTTGAATATACGCCCCAATCGAGCACGACGACTCATCACTATCACTCTCCACCTCCCCCTCCCCATGCCCCTCCCCATCCTCCTCACTCCCAGACCCCTCATCCCCCGATCCTTCCAAACTATTCATCATATGCCTCCTCCTCCTGTGCCTTCTCCTCGTGCGGTCACACAGTAACCGCACGGAAAACGCAGTAGCAGCGCCGGGATCAGCAGGCTGGTGGCGTTCCAGTAATGCCCGTCCATGAGCAGGAGTAGCTTCTGACAGATGGCGCAGGAGGGAGCGACGAACTGCTCGCTTATCCTCGCCAGCCGCTCCCTCTCCGCCTCTGCTGCCTCCGCCTCCCTCAAATCCTCTGCTGCCGATCTTTGAGGTGCTTCAATAGCTGCTAATGCAGCAGAAACTTCCACAGCTGCTGCAGCTGAAGCGTCGCCTGGGTCAGACTGGGGGAGGTGGGACTGTGCCGAGGGAACAGTATCCCTAGACGTGGTGTCTCTGAGACGGCTTGTTGTGTCGGGCAGAGGACGAGTGAGAGGGTGGGAAACCATGGGGTGGGATGCCAGGGGGTGGGAAGCCAGAGGGTCGGGCGAAAGAGGGTGGGGCAATCTGTGCAGGAGGCTGGGTGTGTGAGGCTCGGCTGTAGGAGCTCTCGTTGCTGGACGTCCGACTGACCCTGTGGTCTGGATCATGTGCATGTGTATGCGCAGGAGCATGCGGATGTGTATGTTCATGTTCACGTGCATGTTGTGCACGTGCATGTTGTGCATTTGCATGTTGTGCATGTGCATGTGCATGTGCAAGTGCCTGCACACCCTGCGTTTCCATTCCCCCCTTGCGACCCCAACCTCCCCTGTGACTCCATCCCTCCCTGCAAACGTGTGCACCCCACCCAACCCTCCTCCGGCCCAGATAGAAACAGCCTATGCCCACGTTTGATGGATCCTGCCCCAGTGCCTTCATCCCCTCTATAGCCTGCCCCTTTAGCAGCTGCTCCCGCTCCCTTGCTTCCTCAAAGCGGTGGAGTAGGGCCTGCTTGACTCCTCCCCTCCTGAGTCTGTGACTGTGATTCGCACTCGTACATGGTCCTGACGGGAGATCTGGGAGCATAGGGTGGGGAAGGAGAAGGGTGGAGTGGAAGGGAAGGGAGCAAACGGAGCATGAGGGGAATAAAGTGCGGTGCGGGTTAAACGTTGCCTGCTTGGACTCCTCCCTCCTGAGTCTGTGACTGTGATTCGCACTCGTACATGGTCCTGATGTGAGATCTGTTAGGAGTGGGGAGGGGAGAAGGGGAGAGGAGGGGATAGAGGAGGTCAGGGAAGTGGGGAAGAGAGAGGGAGGAGCGGGGTGGAAAGGATGTGAGAGCATGCCTGGACTCCTACCCTCCTGCGTCTGTGACTGTGACTGTCTCAAAAACACGATCGGCAGCAAAGAATTAGCGTCTCCAAAACACAGAGCACCCTCACGTAGTCCTGGCGGGGGATCTGGGAGAGATCGGAAGAGGGGATTGTGACGGATGGAATCTTCCAAAGCTAATTCTTTGCCTTTTTCCGAGAGTTCTCAAAGGCGATCGTGATTTTGAGAACTCTCAAAGGCGATCTCGTTTTGAGACATGCAATCGAACGTGCACATGGATTCGAACGTGCACATGGATCGAACGTGCACATGGATTGAGCGTGCACATGGATCGAAACGTGCACATGGATCGAACGTGCACATGGATCGAACGTGCACATGGATCGAACGTGCACATGGATCGAACGTGCACATTGGATCGAGCCGTGCACATGGATCGAACGTGCACATGGATCGAACGTGCACATGGATCGAGCGTGCACATGGATCGAGCGTGCACATGGATCGAACGTGCACAATGGATCGAGCGTGCACATGGATCGAAACGTGCACATGGATCGAACGTGCACATGGATCGAACGTGCACATGGATCGAACGTGCACATGGATCGAACGTGCATTTGGATCGAACGTGCACATGGATCGAACGTGCATTTGGATCGAACGTGCACATGGATCGAACGTGCACATGGATCGAACGTGCACATGGATCGAACGTGCACATGAAATGCGCAAACGTACAGCAAGGCCGTCGAAAGGACGCGCAGTGGATCAAACGATGAGAAAAAAAACAAACAAACAAAGGAGGGAATGAGGGAATGGAACATACAGCTGAGTGGAAGGCATGTGAAGGATGCTCGATATGTGGCTTCCGTGCCGGCCCGTGACTGCCGTCTGATAGCCCTGCAGCCACAGAAATGGTTCCCTGCAGGGGCGAGGGGAGGGAGATGCTTGTGTCACGTTTGACAATTCCCAAAGGCGCATAGGCTGGGTTGTGCTTCCGGACCAACTATGCGGCCCGTGACTGCTGTCTGATAGCTCCACAGCACAGAAATGGTTTCCTGCAAGGTAAAGAGGGGAGGGAGAGAGCACGGAGGCGGGGTGGTGAGGTGGCTTCAGAGCAGCTATTCTGGGCTGTGACTGTCGTCTGATACCCCCCACAGCCACATTGCGAGTAGGTAGGCTCCTTCAGCCCAGCAGTGCATGCGTGTTGAGGCAAGCAGCAGCAGCACGTCCCTCTGGCATGCATGAGCACAAGGCAGCACACAAGTATGCAGCGAAAGCAGCACACATTCCCCTCACCTCATGAGTGGAGCTGATCGCATGGCCTACAACGTGCAGCACCACCATTCAGCACCACTCAGCACCACTCAGCACTCCTCCCTCTTTACCTCATCGGTGGAGTCGATGGCATGCCTGATAATATGCAGCACCATGCGCAGCAATCGCCGCTCATCCCCCACCACGTGCTGAGGCACCTCCCTGCTGCTGCACCACACAGCACCACTCGGCATCACTCGGCACTCCTCCCTCTTTACCTCATGCGTGGAGTCAATGCATGGCCTATGATGTGCAGCACCACGCGCAGCAATCGCCGCTCATCCCCCACCACGTGCCGAGGCACCTCCCTCGCAATCACCACTGAGAAGCTCAGTCCCTTGGCTCGCATCATGGGCCATGCCAGGGACGCCGCGTCGTGCAGCATTCGCCTTAGATCGAACGGACGGTGCTCCAGCACGAGACTGGGATGGGGAGGGACAGGGAGGGGAAGGTGGGGTGGGGAGGGACAGGGAGGGGAAGGTGGGGGGAGGGACAGGGAGAAGTTGAGCCCCTTGGCTCGCATCAAGAGCCATGCCAGGGATGCTGCATCGTGCAGCATTGCCTCTAACACAAGACAGGCAAGAGTGCGGTTCAGTGCGGTCAGTGCAGCATCACTCCTTACTTGATCTCTTGGTGCTGTGCCACCCCGAAGACGTCAGAAATGAGCGATGTTAGCATGGAGGCGCTGCGAGAGAGAGAGCAGCCACCATGGGTCCGCCCCTGCATGCGATTCAATGCGGTACCATGCGGTCCAGGGCAGTTCTGTGCAATTCAATGCGGTACTATATCCTTTCCTTACTTGATCTCTTGCCGTTGGGCCACCCCAATGACGTCGGAGATGAGGGATGTGAGCATGGAAGCACTGCGAGTGAGAGTGGCCACCATGGGCCCTTGCTCATCTGTTAGGTCGTCCTCCTGTTGCCATGCCCATGCCATGCCACGTCATGCCATCCCATGCGCATGCCATGCCACGTCATGAGATATCAAGCATGCCGATTGATGCCATCCAGTGCCACTCCACATGCCATACCATGGCATCACATACATGCTAAGCCATACAACACCGAGCCAAACCACACACACCATGCCACAACCTTACAAGCACACACACGTTAAAAGAACAGACAGGGTTAGACGGGAGGGGGTGTGTTAAGGAGATGATTAAGGGTGTGCATACAACTCCTCATCCCATGCAGGTTGAAGATGGATTCGAGCCGCAGCAAGCCTTGTGGTCGTCGTAAAAACTACTAGCGCCGATTAAGGAGATGAAGAAGGGTGTGCATATAACTCCTCATCCCATGCAGGTTGAAGATGGATTCGAGCCGCAGCAAGCCTTGTGGTCGTCGTAAAAACTACTAGCGCCGATTAAGGAGATGAAGAAGGGTGTGCATACAACTCCTCATCCCATGCAGGTTGAAGATGGATTCGAGCCGCAGCAAGCCTTGTGGTCGTTGTAAAAACTATCAGCGCCGGTTAAGGAGATGAAGAAGGGTGTGCATATAACTCCCCATCCCGTGCTTCATTTCCTAGTCAGCTCAGAGATTGGCTCACCAGTGACAGGAAGACGAATGTGAGGTCCCTTGAATCAAGCACGCACACACCTCCATGAGGGAGGAGAGTGCGAGGATGGTGTGCAGAGGGCTCCTCATCTCATGATTCATGACTGACAGGAGCAGGTTGGAAGGCTGGTTTCATGGCATGCTGGGTGGGACTAGGTACCTAGACTTAGAGCTGGGTGGACCATACCATGCTGGGTGGACCATGCTGGGTGGACCATGCTGGGTGGAACCATGTACCTCCATGAGGGAGGAGAGCGCGAGGATGGTGTGCAGAGGGCTCCTCATCTCATGATTCATGACGGACAGGAAGTCGTTTCTGGCTTGAATCGCCTCCTCTGCTCTAATCCGCGCCACCTGCAGCGCCGCATTCTGCTCCGCCATCTCCTCCCTGCGCCTCTGCGTGAGCAAGTGGGAATGGGGGGGTGTCGATGAGGGGAGGGAGGGGAGAGGCGGAGGGGCGAGAGAGAGGGGATAAGGAGTGGGCACATCCACTCATGATTCATGACGGACAGGAAGTCGTTCCTGGCTTGAATCGCCTCCTCTGCTCGCACCCGTGCCACCTGCATCGCCGCATTCTGCTCCGCCATCTCCTCCCTGCGCCGCTGTGTGGGGTCGGGTGGTGGGGGAAAGGGGGAGAGGACATGCTGTATTGGAAAAGAAACTACCCTCTTCTGCACTCACCCGCACCATCTGCATGGCTGCATTCTGCTCCGCCATCTCCTCCCTGCGCCTCCGTGTGTGAGGAATGGGAAGGAATGGAAGGGGTGAAAGACAAGGAGGACGCCATTTGTGTTGACTCAAACGGAGCTGTGTGACAGTGTATCGAGGTGACTATAAGAGCGACTCAAGGGCTACCTGCGACCATTCCAGTACTGCAGCATGTGAGAGGGTGCGAGTAGGGGATTCCTGCCTACCTGCGACTGCTCCAGCGCTGCAGCATGTGAGAGCGCAAACCCCACTTGGTCCGCCACTGCTTTATTCATATTGCTCTCATCTCAAGTCAAATAAAGAATGGAAAAGTGGGGGAGAGAAAGAGTCTCTGTCCTGCTTACCTGCGACTCCTCCAGCGCTGCAGCATGTGAGAGCGCGATGGCCACTTGGTCTGCCACTGCTTCCACCATCTCCACCTCGTGCGGCTGCCACTGCCTGGTGGGTGGGGGGAGCCAAGGATAGGGATTGTGAAAGGCAGGGGGGAAAGAGGGGGTACACGGAGTGGGAGGAAGGCGATAGTGACTGGGACTGCCACTGCCTCCACCATCTCCACCAAGGCGCACTCGTGGACCAAGGCGCGCTCGTGGACCAAGGCGCACTCGTGGACCAAGGCGCGCTCGTGGACCAAGGCGCGCTCGTGGACCAAGGCGCGCTCGTGGACCAAGGCGCGCTCGTGGACCAAGGCGCGCTCGTGGACCAGGGCTTGAATCCAAGGGGGCGGTTTGAATCAAGGGGGCGGCTTGAATCCAAGGGGGCGGCTTGAATCCAGGGGGTAGCTTGAATATAGAGGGGAGCTTCAATCCAAGGGGTATCTAGGCTTAAAAAGGACACCCAGTCGGGTGGGGCCAAAATTCTCTGGACGCTGACCCAGGCGAGTCGGCAGGTTTTGCATCGACTCAAAATGAGCCGTGTTTTGGGTCGACTCAATCATTGCACGGGTACACCCAGGCGAGTCGGACCGGGTTTTGCATCGAATAAAAATGAGCCGTGTTTTGGGTCGACTCAAATCAGGGCCTGGGTACACCCAGGCGAGTCGGACCGGCCCGATATCCGACTCTGAGCATCGGGTCGGGTTCGGGTCGGGTTTTTACCCGATTTCGGCCTGGCCCGTTACCGTTATCATTGTCAGTTATGGCCAAGTCGGTTGGGTTTGAACCCGACCCCGATACAGTGTTCTTCAACCCAACCACATCTTAGTTGGGTTGTTTGGGAACTCATTTGACTTAGAAAACCATCCGGCCGACGATTCCGCTAGTCTACAACTGAGGCTTCAACACAGCCATTGGTAAATCGACCTTTTACCCATCCCTTCCCCCCTCACCTCTTCTCGTCCCCATGCAGCACGAGCACCATGAGCCCATACTCCACAACCGAACCGTACTCCATATCAGCAGCCTCACTACCAGCAAATCCGTCACTATCTGCACCATTATTGCCACCACCACCACCACCACCACCAACAGCACCAGCGGCACCAGCTGCAGCCGCAGCAGCAGCAGCAGCACCGTCGTCCCCTTGCTGGCTGGATCGTGAAGCACGGGAGTGTGTGGGCATGTGGATTGCCAGACGAACAGCTGGGGGGGGGAGGGGCGAGGAGGGAGGGGGAGGGGGAGAAGGATCACTTAAGAGATCCAAACAACTCAACACTTGCTGGCTGGATCGTGAAGCACGGGAGTGTGTGGGCATGTGGATTGCCAGACGAACAGCTGGGGGGGACGAACAGCTGGGGGGGACGAAGGGGGAAAAAGGGAGGGAAGGGAAGGGTTGGCTTTGATGCCAACAACTCACCACCACACGTGGAAACATTGCGCTACTTGAGTCGACCTCTCCTCGAGGGGAGGAGGCGGAGCGGGGAGAGGGGGCAATTGGTGATCCTCGTGGAAGCAAGAAGCATTATTTGACACACGTATCACCAAGTTACCTGTTGGAGTAGGACGAGTCACCTGCTGGATCCAGGTCGAAACTTTATACGTATGATCCTCGTGGAAGCAAGCAGCAATTTTTGACAAAAGCATCTCACCGATCTGGAGATCTGGAAACCCGACACGAACATGACTCCATCGATGCCATGCTCCCCAACAGTCATGGTAACGAGGTGACTTTGAGTTGAGTTGACTCAAAAGTCACGTCGAAACCCGACACGAACATGACTCCTTTGATGCCATGGCGTTCACATAGGCCCCGAGGGGCCCATGCGAACACGACCCAACAGTCACCCACCGCCATGGCGTTCGCATGGGCCCCTCGGGGCGTAGACGCCGAGCCAATGAAGGAGGATCGGGAGATGAGGCACGGGTTTGACGTGGCGATCACTGATTGGACGCTCGGGTCCGATATGTGCACGCAAATGGGCACCTGAAAGTACGGGAATGGGCGGGTGGTGTGGTTGGGAGAATCAAAGGGGTTTTCAAAAATCTCAAAATCAGTGTGCACAGAAAGGCGCCATGTGAGTTCATGAATAGGACCAGGGGGGGAGGTGAGGAAAGAGAAGGGGAGGGGCAAAGGGGGGAAGGGAGGGACAGGGGGCTAGCTGTGGGAGACACAGTCGTGAGAGAGAATGGGATGGTACGCTTATATCACACCACCTATAGTCACACAAACCTCTCCTAGAGTCACATCACCTGCACCAACCTTCTCTCCAGTTCGTGTGTCAGCTCCAAATACTTTCCCGCTGCAAGCAGCATGTAACACCCCTCATACCTACAGTCACACCACCTACAGTCAAATCACCAACATTCAAACTGTTGATGACATCACCTGCACCAGCCTTCTCTCCAGTTCGTGTGTCAGCTCCAATACTCTCCCGCTGCGGGTAGCAAGTTAGGGAAAACACACAGGAGGAGGGGAGGTGTAGGAGGGATGGGGGCGACTGAGGGATGGTAGGGTGGGGTGGTCCGTGTAATCCACACATGGCAGTGCTAAGTGCTTCTATGTGTGCTCTATATACTCACACACTCACAGGGGTAAGGCGTGGTGCTGAGGTGGTGTGATCCCATGCATTTATGCACACGCTTCCAGGGGTCAGTAGCACTCACAGGGGTCAGTAGCACTCCACAGGGGTCAGTAGCACTCACAGGGGTCAGTAGCACTCACAGGGGTCAGTAGCACTACAGGGGTCAGTAGCACTCACAGGGGTCAGTAGCACTCACAGG